TTCTCAGTTGTTTCCAAAGATTATCAAGCTAACATTGAAAGTAACAAACTATCAACATGTTTTAGAGTAGTTTGTTCCCTTCAGTGTTAACTGCCTCACTACTGCTGGTTAACCACTGAGAGTTCAACTGAGACCTGGGTGAATGTAACTGAGGAGAGTTAAAAGTCTGTCTTGTTCTGTGTGTAAAAGCTAAACCCCTAAATGCTAAAATCGTGCAGATATTTCAAATCAAATGGTCTCATGAAAGCAAAGTCAGATGAAAATGAAAGCTAGACATGACCCAAAAATCAGAATTTGTTTATTTGTCACTTTAAAAATGCAAATGTTGGACTATTTTGACCACAAACATAAGATCTGATCTAAACTGCCTCAGACTGGTTCTATCAAAGCCCAAAAACAGAAGTGATGTTTTTTTCATGTTTTCACTTTCAGTTTGAAATGAAACCCCAACAGCCTGCACAGAAATACTGGTTTGTGAGATTTAAGTCTTTCAGACAGCATTAATTCAATATTTCTTTTAGAGTCAGATATAACTGATACTTCAAAAAACTAGGTCGGCTGAATGGTCTCTTTAGTCAAAACGCAACAAGAATCAAAATATGAACAATTAAATGTGCTGCAGCAAACATCAGATAAAACCTGGAAACACACAAACTGACACTTCTGTGTAACCTGCTGACAAATGTCTCATCTTTTGTTCGTACTGCCAACGTAACAACACAAACACTGCACTGAAAACTGCCCTGTCCTACTTTCCTCCTCATATCTGCTCCTGTATTGTGTAAAGTTCATGTTTAACCAAAACTTTACTGCTCTGAGTCTAATGGAGATGCAAATGGGGTTTCTGTTTTTAGACCTACAATAGGGTTTATAAAACTTCTTTTTTTAGATTAACAGTTTTATGTGCTTCAAATTTTTCATTCTTTACAAGACTGAAAGGACAAAGACAAACACCTGTGAGTGGGATCTTGTTTGGGTTTGGGTCACTCATCAGACAGTCTGTTGTCAAATATTTTTATACCCAGATTTTATAACATGTACAGTGAGATGCAAAAGTACACACTCCTTTCTCTGTTTAGTTGCATTAAAGCTTTACAGTACTTGTTTAAAAAACTGCAAAACTGAAAAGTAGTATATGTGTGGACGGGTTTTTCCTATGTGTGGACAATTTTCCCCCAGAAAAGCAGCCTCGTGGGGATCGAAGTGAATTGTGTGGAACAATGCCAGTTCCCAATGTGTCCAAATGCAAATTACAGGTGTGGGGTTTGGTTTAGGACCAAGGTTTAGATTAGTTTTAGGGTCAGGTAGGTAACTGTGAGGTTAATTTTAGAGTATATGGTCAGGGTTAGGCTGTAAAGTCCAAAAAACATGAATGGAAGTCAATGGAAGGTCCCCATGGGGTTCAAGAACACACATGTGTGTGTGTCGGTGGGGTTCGGCTTTGGTGACATTTGGGGGCAATTTTAAGACAAAAATCCTCCATTTGGGGACAAAAGTCGAGTCCCCATTTGGTTTAAATGGCATTGTTGGGTTGGGGGTTGGCTTTAGGACCAAGGTGTGAATTGAGTTTAGGTTAGTTTTAGGGTCAGGTACCTGTGAGGTTAGCTTTAGGGTTGGTGGTCAGGGTTAGGCTGTAGAAATGTAATGGAAGTCAATGGAATGTCCCCAATTGGATAGCTGTGCAAACTTATAAAGAGGCTTGTACGCCCCTACCCTTRGCCTTCGTCTTCATCTTTTTASTTGGTGATTCATTTGGCTTAGAAGGCCACTATTTGGTTTTTGGCTGTGATCTCCTGGACTGCAAAATAAAGARTCTTGCTGTTCAAKCAGRCTGTTTCAGAGTTTCTCTCTTCGGGGCAGCAGTTCTGCAGAACCAAGATGTTTTTACACCTCATTTAAACACTGATTGCCCAACTAAATCCAGTCAACCCGTATTGAACTGATGAAGCTTTTTTACAGCTGGCATCCATAAAAAGTGTCAAAACGTGTTTTGAAAATGTTGTCATGCACTTTCCTCCACTGTTTTGTCAATATGTCTCAAACTGCACTAAAATACCTTCTCTCAAAATGTATAAATTTGAATTTGCGATGTTATCTATTCTCGGGCTAGCATCAAACGAATGACCCCTACATTAATAAATTACACCACATTTTTACTTATCGACATATTGCTATTTATCTTGAATTTACAAGTGTATTGTGGTGTAATTTAGGAATCAAGTTATCAAGCACAATTCATTGTGGGGTGGGGTGTCTTGCTCAGAGACACCACGACCTGTAGGCATGGCAGGGAATCAAACCTGTGACTTCCTTGCGTTAAGATTGAGCTTGGTTGATTAGAACCCCAAGAAGCAGAACTGAGCGAGGTGGCAAAAAGGTGATTTATTAAAACAAAACAAAGGCGCTGACGTGGCAGCAAACAAGAACAAGGGGATTTGGGCAGGAGCAAGAACATGAACGTCCAACAGAGAACGTCCAACAGAGAACGTCCAACAGAGAACGCCCAACAGAGAACGCCCAACAGAGAACGCCCAACAGAGAACGCCCAACAGAGAACGCCCAACAGAGAACGCCCAACAGAGAACGTCCAACAGAGAACGTCCAACAGAGAACAAAGATCG